AATGTGATGATACAACATCGATATCGTGCACTTCTGTATCGATATATCACCAAGAGTATTTTTTGGTTTATTTTACTTAATTATTTGTGTTACAGCGCTACAGTTTTGTTGCTTTTTCAGTGGATGGAAACTCATTTATGCAACAGATTTGATATTTTCACTGTTTTGATGATTGATGTTTGTGTTTCATATGAACATTGGACAAGAAGTGGTTTAACAAAGACTTTTAGCATCACAGCCACAATTTATCCACACCATTATTTTTTAGTGAACCATATTGAATCTATTTGAAATACATCCTATCGAATCAAAAGTGCACTGTATCAAGATATGTATCGTATCGTGGCCTATGTATCAATCTATGTATCATATCAGCAACTTCTTCATGATACCCAGCCCTAATCATGATATCGTATCATCAAAGTCTCACAATAATATCGTGGACCTTCACAATATATCGAATTCCAAGTTTGTTTGCTCACATTCATAGTTATGGTACAGCAATAGTAAAAAAATTAAATAAAATGAGGGAACTACATAGACCATAATGCTTTGCTCTGTTAAAGGGTAAACTACATGAAGAAATAACTGCTAATAATAATAATAATAATTTTATGAATGTTATTTTGTTGGATGATGACAGAACCAAAGTCTTGTGAAGGCATTTAAAAAGAAAAAGTAACATATTCATTTTTTTGGCTTTCACAAAAATCGCAATAAATATTGTACTGTGAAAATATCGTACAGAGAAATTTGGATATCATGACATCCCTAATAATAATAAAGGTTATTCAAACATGTAAGAATAAAACAAAACACTCATTTATGTTAATATAGGACCTTTAAAGTTCATTGCGGTAATGTCATATATTATTTTATTTTATTTTTTATCAGAAATAGGTGCAATTAAAAATTTTTGTACAGTGACCACAAATGCGTGTCTATCTTCAGATCTGGTGGTTGTAGCTCGAGTCCTGGGTCACTTGAGGCCACGCGCTGTGTGAATATTAGACCATATGGCTCTGTTTGATTTTTCCCACCATAAATTAGGCAGTGATAGAGAGTGGGTGAATGTGAAAGAGACCCACTGCACAATGTGTAACAGTGGATATGCAAGTCTTTATTTCAAGCTGCACTGTGTAACTTTTCTGTTGGTACACCACCTGCTTGTCTTGTCTCTCCAGGGAGATTTTATTGCTTTGCCTGGAATGTTTTGCATTGTCAATCTAGCAAGTGTTTTTATTGCTCAAAAATATGTTGAAGAACATGCATTTTTACAGTGAAGGGTGTTGCCTCTCCACAGATCTGACCTGTAACTTGGTCTGATGGTATCACCAGATTATCTCCACATCGATGAAAAAAGGTGAATGTCTTACAGTAGAACATTATCCGCAAAGTAATCAGAAAAAGTTACACAGTGCACCTTTAAATTCTGGTTCAAAACTCATATTTAATAAAATCACATTTGAGAGCTGACTATTTCTTAGTTATATGATGTTATGTTTTATTAAGTTGATCTATCTATTAATTCAATAGCCATATTGACCAATGACGACATGATGTCACCAGTGACCATACACACATTCTACTGTGTGATGTCACAGCACCACACCCAAGTTTGAAAAACTTTATTTAAAAAAGCAGACTCACAAACATCCAAGTGCAGCTTATCCAAGTGCAGCTTATCCTCACACAGCGGGCACAGGCATATTACAGCTGCAGTGTGCACTGTATAAATCACAACATTATCAAATAATATAGTGGAATTTTAGGACTTTATTTTATTTATTTATTCATTTATTCATTCATTCATTCATTCATTTATTTATTTACTGAAAATATGCATCTCATGAACCTTAGTTACCACAGCTGGTTCATTTTTTGTTTTGTGTTATGGAAAACATGGATGGGAAACGTACTCAACAGAAGCAGTGAGCTAATTTTTAAGATATAAAACCACCTGTAATTGAACATGAACCTGTATAAATAAATGTGTATACTAGTTTATCTGAAATGTATAAAAATTCCATTGCTGGTCTTCTACTGTGATGAAGGATTAACATGGAAAACATTATGGAATGTTTTTTCATATTCCAGAGGACTTCACTTCAGTCAGATAGAGTGAATAATTCAGGCTGTTCCGTTAAATCTCTGTTAAACAACTTTGACATAGTTTAATGGAGGTTTAGCTGTGGTTCAAGGTAAAATATTCAGTGTATTTAAAGGTGCACCGTGTAACTTTTCTGGCTGGGTAATTGCCTCTTGCTTGTTTCCTTGGAGATGTCATTGCTTTATCTGCAATGAACTTGAACTTATCTATCATGCTAATGCTATATTCAATTATACTGCACCTTTAATTAATCTCTAAAATCATTGAGATCATTTCAAACCTGGAATTGACAATCTGTTGAATTAAAATTTAAAAGGAAGATGTTAACATGAAAACTACCACTACATGACATCACAAGGTGGAACATTTTGGTGCATTTTGAGCTTTGGAGAATTAGACAGACTAATAATAATGGTTTACTCAAACAAGTGAGAAACAAAACACAACTCTGGGTATGTTTTTAACACGTCTTAAAGCTCACAAGAGTCAGTTTTGTGTAATATAAAGAGTTTCCTGAATCAGAGGCCCCTATGCTGTATATCACTGCATATATATTTTGTGTTATGGTGTAATATATAAGAACAAGTTATGGTAAACATCTGTGTGTAAGTGTTATAAATGATAAAAATACTGTACATGGCCCCACTTGAATCCCATTGCCCGTGTGCACCATGGGAAGTAGGTTAATGTATGTGGACTTGGGTAAAACACAGATATGTTGGATTAACATGAGCTGCCCTTGGGCCTCTTCTCCTGTCACTTTCTTGGCATTTTCGCGCTCGCTGATCTAAACCCGGTGGATCTGGCTGAACGCAGAGGCCCACCAGCTTCAGCGGCCGCTTATGTAAGAGCCCCGAGGAAACAGCAGAGCCTTCTCCTCCAGTGGACCAATCAAACCAGAGATGTCAATGCAGCACCATGGTCCATTTATAGAAGACTGGGACCTGTGGACTGTCACCGAGCATCGCCGTCAAAGAGGTAATTTTTTCTCAATCGGCAAGAAAATAGCACTAAAACAAGTTATTTCATTTATTTAAAGGGCTCCGTTACACCAAATTGACTCTTGTGAGCTTTAAGACGTGCTATAATGCTGTTACCTCATCAAAACCAAACCTGGAATTGTGATTTATTTCAATCATTGAGTAACTTATTAGTTTTAGTTTACATATTCAAAGCTCAAAATGTTCCACCTGGTGATGTCATGTAGCTGTAATTTTCAATTTTACAGCTACCGTTTCACCTTTACTTCAGTAGAAATGGACAGTTCTGGGGCTGAAATCATCCAAATGGAAAGTGTATGGAGTTTAAAACCAGAGTGTCTGTGAGAAGAACTCAGCCTAAACATGCAGGATTTGTGTGTTAAACATGTGAATGAACCAAAATGAAACTCCAGCACTGAAAAAAATATATAGGTAAGTGAAAATGACTTAAATTAAGAGCATTTTACTTTATTTGAGTCGATTCAACTTGACAAGTAAAATTATCTGCCAGTGGAATAAGTCTGTTTTTCTTAGCTCAAGCAACATTCGATTTTGTTTCTTATTTTAAGTGCATAAAAGTTGCTGTTTTTCTTATTTAAAGTGTAGCGAGATGTATTTTCATTTCATTTTAAGTACAAAAGTCTAGTTCCACTGGCAGATAATTTTACTTGTCAAGTGAAATTGACTCAAATCATGATAAAACTTTCTTAATTGAAGTCATCTTAACTTGACTAGATTTTGTTTTTTGCAGTGAGGTATTAGAGCAGAGATCAGAATACACTGTAATATGAGCCCTTTATTTTATTTATTTATTTTATTTTTTTCTTGGAATGCTCAACAGACAACAGTCAAGGTTAACAGTTGTTTTACTTTAATATTTGTTTACACTGGGTCCACAGAGTCCACAATCTTTAATAGACTAATTTGGCTGCCTTGTATATTTTGTGTTTCTTTAACTATAGACTGAATAATATAACATTAAAATATGTCCCTCACCTTATATTATATTTATTTCTTAATGCACATAATGGCAAATCTCCATGGAGACGTGGGTGATGCCACTTGGTCATTTTACAGGTCAGATCTGTAAAGAGGCAAGATCACTCACAAGAAATATACACCAGAGGTGGGACCAAGTCATTGTTTTGCATGTCTCAACTGAGTCTCAAGTCCTTGACCTCAAGTTTGAGTCAAGTCCCAAGTCACAGACAAGCGAGTCCAAGTCGAGTCTCGAGTCATTGGCCCGTAAGTCCAAGTCAAGTCCAAGTAAAGTTGTCTGCTTTGAGCTTCAAGTCATTTCAAGTCTTTAAACCAAAGAAGATTTTTGCAGTTAATATGATTTTTAAACAAAATTGTACTCTAAAAAATCATAGTATATTTATATATGAGTATATTTAGAGTATATACAGTTGTAGAAATGCTAATTTTGTAGAAATGTAAATTTTTTCTTTTTAAATATCTGGAAAAGATCTTAATGTGAATCATTACGGTCAGAATATTCAGAATTCAGATTTAAAAGTGCTTCTCATGTCTTCTCAAGTCACAGGCCTCAAGTCTGAGTCAAGTCCCAAGTCACTGACCTTCAAGTCCAAGTCGAGTCTCAAGTTTTTGTCCATTTTATCAAGTCAAGTCTTAAGTCCTAAAAATAGTGACTCAAGTCTGACTCAAGTCCAAGTCACTTCTGATATATATGCATGTTTTTCAAAGCATTATGTGAGCTGTAGTAAACTGAACTGAATAAATGCAAGATAAAGATAAGTTTAATGCCATACTGTGGAATATTCCAGGCAGATAATGTTATTAGAATCTCCCTGGCTGTTTAACCACTGTTCTGAGTTTGAATATCCAAGTCTTTTTAAATTTTACAGTGCAGGTGTTACCTAAGTTGAGCAATAAAAACAGTTCCATAGTTATTTTACTGAACAATTTTATTCATATTTGAATTTCCCGAAAATGAGCAAACAGAAAAACACAATATTTGATGAAAACTGCATATAGTTGTATTGGCGTTAATACAAAAATGTGGTGGACGTGTTTGAATAATAACATTAAGGCATGTACATATAGCAGTCATATTAAATACGCACCTGACTCCAGTTCACCCAGAAACAGCGTCTTCAAAAATGATTCAAAACAGGCTGACACTGCGTACAATAAAAGTACAACTAAATCAAACATCTGAAAACAAAGCTGACCTACGTATTCATAAGTGTTTCTGCTCTTAGATTACAGTAAATGATAAATTACAGTTAGATATTTGAAGGTAAAAGCAACAGCATGTATAGGTTAGAGATGCCCCAGTATTTTCAAAGTCTTTCTCCATTTAATATTTGTACAACATGACAGTGAAAATGTATTAATTATAAGTAGGGCTGGGTGATTTGGAAAAGAACATTCCTCATATTGACCATTACATTTTTAATTCAGTTTTATCTTGACTTATTCTTGACAAACTACAATGGTTTCTGATAAAATTCCCAAAATTGCCAAAAATTTCATCTGAACTCTGCTTTAAACTAAATGCTTTCACTGACAGAGGATTTGCTGTGGACATTGACAATCAGAAAAAGAAAAAAAAAAAGGTGCACTTTGTAACATTTGACGGACTCCCCACCAGAAAAGTTACACAATGCACCTTTAACATTGCATTGACTGTTGATCATCATCACTATAACTTGAAAAATACTGAACTATTCACTAAGCTTTCTATTTAAACACGTACAATTCCCAATCCTCTTACAATCAGAAACATTGTTCTATCAGCTTATAAGTCCGGTTTTTGGCTTCTATTAAACCTACAAATCTATGCAAATAAAATGAAACAAAAGAAAACACTGGAGTTTTCACACATTCTAGATCTGCTGCATTGGCTTCAGGTTTGGAGACACCTGGAAAGACAAGAGACAACACACTTTATTATTAATGTTGTACAGTATTCTCTATCAATACTATGCAGCTGATGTCTTCAACATTCCCTAAGATGGGGTGATGCTAACTCTAGGCATTACTGTCAAAACTCTAGGTACTACTGTCAAAACTCTAGGTACTACTGTCAAAACTCTAGGTACTACTGTCAAAAGCTCTATGAGACTTCAATCACCTTTTTGTTGAAACTCAAACTCCTAAACAGGACCATGAACGCTTTTATTGATCACAGGCTCCTGAAAATGTGTTATTTAAACCCATTTTGTGTTTCTTCTTGAGTTTTTGTCAGAATTTGCTAAAGTGTGCATTTTGTCTCCATGGTAACAGCCAATGTTAAGTTAAGTATAACGGCTAGAGGTGTAACGATATCCAAGTCTCACGATATGATATTGTCACGGTATGAATCTCACGGTACGATATTTATTGCGATATCGTGGGAAAGCTCACAATATGGTGGGGAGGCTCATGATTAGGGATGTAATAATATCCAAATCTCTGTGATATTTTCACGATATATATCTCATGGTATGATATTTATTGTGATATTTTGTGGAGGCTAAAACTGTTAATATGCTACTTTTTCCTCTTAAAATGCCTTGACAAGACTTAATCCAAAGAACTAAGACTTAAAAGTGCTTAGAACTGTTACTTCTTCTTGTAGTCTACACTGAAATGGAGCAAAGGATCATAGTCTATGTAGTTCCCTACGTCTAGAACTTTGATGATACGATATCACGATATTTCAGTTACTGTTACATCCCTAATAACAGCACTACATTTTCAGTAATGGAATAATCAAATTAATTACACTCTCCATCGTTACAACGCCGTTATCGTTACTGGGAAAGCAAAGTGGCACGTTACAGTTGGGTTGAATGAGGCGCCGTGGTGTCAGGCTTCATGCAATGGACAGACACACATCATCTGCAGGAGCGGGAGAGCTCCCGAGAGAACAGGACCAACATGATTGGCTAAGAACTTGGGTGGGCGGAGTCTCTGCTCACGTTGCCTTGCTGTTTCTTTCCCACACACTTCAGCTAAATGAGACAAACTTAACGAGAATGCGACAAAAGCAACGACGAGCCACGGACATTCAAAGGCAGCGTTTTCAAACTAGAAATACCGACACTACTTCTCCCTCATTGAAATAAAGGGCAAGAATATGTATGTTAAGTGTAACCGTGCCTTGGGAAAAAAATATTTTGTCCCATGTCTGCCTCAGGTAACTCGAATATAATGAAGCTCCTCACATCGTCGCATGCAACACACCTCTCGCTGCTGTTCACCCCGAGCGCTGATGCAGTTAGAGTGAGTTCTAGCCAAAATGGAAACGGAGCCACTGCATTTTAAAGACAAACTTGATTTTTCAGGCAATAATACATAACATGAAAAGTAACTAGATATTTAAAGTAAAATGCCCAACCCTGGAAACAGCCACCAAGTAAGTAAGTCCTGCAGTAAGTTATGGAGTTATTTCTCACATGTGCAGGGAACATTCAGTACTATCAGGATCCAATTGAAGATTTCAGTGATGAGACTCTACACTTGGACAGGATACACCTTGTTCAAAAAGACAATCTGGGCGATTTTGAGCAAATGTGGGAACCATTTGTTTCATATTCATATTTGGAAGGTATGGGCTGACAAATGAAGTAGTGCACTGTGGGATAGCAATATAAGCTCTATAAAGAAGTGGACTAAAGAAGTTAAACGTCAACCCATAGTATTTGGCTGAGTGGGTTAACATTTTAAGACCAAAATGAGAAGCCTGACAGCAGCGGTTACAGAGAGAAGGGCAATGTGAACTGGATTTTATTTGAGTTTCTGTATTTTTAATTTCTGTTTTGCTCCTTTTTTTTAATGTAGCAAACTTTATATATGCATCAATGTACAAACTCATACTGGCTTCTCAATCAATTCATTAACTCATGCTTTCCACTGACACATCATATTATTAAAGAGAGACATTTTGGGGTTATTGTAAATTGGTTTTAGTCGTAAAATCTGGCAACGCAAAGCCTGGAATTAAATCTACTTTCTGATGGGATAAAAGGCTTCAAAACATGCCAACAAAACACGCAAAAAAGATCCCGAAAGATCAACAATGCTACAAAAATAGACATTAAATCAAACCAAATAAAACATTTAACATTATATATACTATAAAGTGTTAAACATGAAAAGTTAATGTAAAGATTGTATGGACATTTACCTCAAACTGGGCCCCAGTGCAGGCCTTGATGTCGTCTGGAGTCAGTCCCTCCCAGATCTCGATCAGAGTGAGGCCTTTAGTCGTGTCCACATCAAACACAGCCTGGACACAAAGAAAGACACACACAGACACACACATGCACACACACACACAGACACACAAAAAGAGAGAGACAGCTTTTACACTGCAGCACGTTGAATAGACACTGTGAGAGCTACAGAGATGTCACCTGCTCCAATGCACTCACCAGAACTCAGCCTGGAGGAGAGTAATGGCACTTTAAAGGTCCTACATTGCGCAAATTGATTCTTGTGAGCTTTAAGCCATGTTAGAAAAATGTTACCTCATCAAAAACATGTCCGGGGTTTTGTTTTGTTTCATTCACGCTTGTTTTTTTGAGTAACCCTTTATTGTTATTAGTCTGTATACATCTCCAAAGCTCAACATGCTCTGTTCCAACTTGTGATGGCATGTAGTGGTAGTTTTCAAGTTAACAGCTACATTTTACCTTCTGAAATTATCCAAATGAGTCTAGTGAAGTTGTGCAGAGTTTAAAAACACAGTGGAGGGCTTTTTGAGAGAAGAACTCTATGGAGTAAGAAAGCTGTCAAAAATATTCGTGCGCATAAAATAGAAATCCGTGCGTATTTGGGAAATCCGTGCATATTTGGCTGTAGTTGCGCATAAAATAAATATTTGTAAACTCTCAAATGAGTCCAGTCATACATAAAATATATTGTGTGTATTTTATCCATCAGAATACAAATTGAAAAATTACGACGTCATGAATTACAATCACGAAATGAAAATTTACGATTACGCTTTCATCAGTACGAATACGAATTCACAGACGGAACTTTACTGTCAAAAATACGTCATCACTTCACAGACATTATCCATCGAGCAGAAGAAACATCGATCAAGATCAAGACTGCGCAGCTCAAGTTTGTAGCAGAGAGTAAAAACAGAGTAATAGCACAAGAAGCTACAACAGCGACCAACAAGTGGGTTAATTAAAATCTATTGTAAAAATGTCTTGAATTCGGGAACTGAACGCTGCTGTATAATATTGTGTAGAAACACCTCCTTTGAACGGGAAATTGCACCTATATGTTAGATAACATAGTGGAGCCAGTTGGCTAACATCCGACGTAACGTTATCCCAGGGCTAATTAGCAAATAACAGGTTCTCTGTATGTTTAGATTAAAACATTCACGACTACAGCCACAGTGAGCATCAGCCAGTCTTCATCTCAGCTGCATTTCAGACAATGGGTTTTTCATGAGTTATAATGGGTTATAATTAGCAAATCCATTGACCTCACGGTGACGTTATACTTACCGGTAAATACTGTAAACATACCAAGGTGTTGCCTGTAAACACCAACATTAATTGATGCTGGAAGCTGCATTAAACTGTAATGTGTAACATTTCATTAGCTGTGACGTCTGTAACCAGGACAGTTTGGTAGTGTTTGGTGTAAACTGGGACATTTCAGCGTCCCGAGGAACATTTGGTGGCATTTCATGCGAGAAATGCAGCTGAAGTGAAGACTGACTGATGCTCGCTGTGGCTGTAGTCGTGAATGTTTTAATCTAAACATACAGAGAACCTGATATTTGCTAATTAGCCCTGGGATAACGTTACGTCGGATGTTAGCCAACTGGCTCCACTATGTTATCTAACATATAGGTGCAATTTCTCGTTCAAAGGAGGTGTTTCTACACAATATTATACAGCAGCGTTCAGTTCCCGAATTCAAGACATTTTTACAATAGATTTTAATTAACCCACTTGTTGGTCGTTGTTGTAGCTTCTTGTGCTATTACTCTGTTTTTATCCTCTGCTACAAACTTGAGCATGCGCAGTCTTGATCTTCTTCTGCTCGATGAATAATGTCTGTGAAGTGATGACGTATTTTTGACAGTAAAGTTCCGTCTGTGAATTCGTATTCGTACTGATGAAAGCGTAATCGTAAATTTTCATTTTGTGATTGTAATTCATGACGTCGTAATTTTTCAATTCGTATTCTGATGGATAAAATACACACAATATATTTTATGTACGACTGGACTCATTTGAGAGTTTACAAATATTTATTTTATGCGCAACTACAGCCAAATATGCACGGATTTCCCAAATACGCACGGATTTCTATTTTATGCGCACAAATATTTTTGACAGCTTTCTTACTCCATAGAACTCTGCCTAAATATTCAGTTTTTTGTGTTAAACATGTGTGAATGAAAAAAAACACAACTCCAAGTATGTTTTTGATAAGGAAACAACATTATAACATTGATCAGAAAATAGCAAAAAGCATAAATCTGAAGATGTGTAGTAGTACTTCATATGCAAAGGTGAGCAGTAGAATTAGTATTGCAGTTTTTGGACACCATACTTTTACTCCAACTGGACAGATACATTTTATTTTAGTACTTGAATAAAAAATGTATCCTAAAACCAGCCAGCCTCTCTCATGCTGTGGAACTTGTAAATTGTAGTAAATGAAATAACTCTCAGCAAATGAATGTGGGATTAAATATCTCTTAGAGTTAGTGTCAGCACTTATTGAACAAACAGCCTGAGCAATTAGTGAAATAAGACCGTGAATCTTGAATAGAAACACTGAAGACTTCACACGCCATTTAACAACACTGCATTACAGCTTTGAGCAGATTCAGTTATAGAGTCATATTTTTTGTGTTAGGAACTTGACAATAGAGATCGACCAATATGTTTTTGTTTTGTTTTTGTAATGACTGATGCCATGTTTAGATGTTTAGAATCCAGAGCAACCAATGGTGGATAAGCTCTAATGATATTTTTTGGCAGGTTTGATTATTTTCTCCAAATTATATAATGCTAATTTCACTACAAGATCATATGTTTCATTACAAATTGGATAAGTGAGTGGGGTAGTCACATTTTGTGCGGTATTTGTAATAAAGTGTTCAAATAAAGCTTTATGCATATTCTATGAGCAGCTCAAACTAAATTTCAGCCTCTATTGAAGATTGACAGCTGATGTTCTATACGCACATTAAAAAGTGCAACTATCTCTACTTGACAAGGCTCTGAATCTGTAACTGGCCATTATTCATTTACTTTCTCCCCTTTACAATGTAAACATACTTGCGTGTGTACAAGTCTCTCCATGACCTAAAATCAAAATACATCTCGGACATGTTAGACCCATATGAACCATCTCACACTCTGAGGGGCTCAGGGACCGGGCCCCTGCTGGTGCCTAAAACCCAGATATATTCCGTGACTTAAACTGTAATGCTGGACTTTTGCACCGCATACGGACTGAACCAGGACTAAACCAGGTCTAAACTAGGTCTAAACCAGGACTAAACCAGGACTAAACGATGACTAAAACAGGACTAAAACAGGACGAAACCAGACCAGACTGGGCCCAGGACTGAGACCACGACTGAGACCGGGACCAGACCAGGATTGAGACCGGACCGGACCTGGACTGAGACCCGGACTGAAACCGGGACTGAGACCAGGACTGAGACCTGGACCAGACCAGGATCAGACCAGGACTGAGACCGGAACTCAGACCGGGACTGAGACCGGGACTGAGACCGGGACTGAGACCGGGACTGAGACCGGGACTGAAACTGGGACCAGACCGGGATCAGACCTGGACTGAGACCAGGAATGACACCGGTTTTATCCTGGGTTAGTTAGGGTTCAGTTCGGGTTTCGTTCTGGTTTAGTCCTGGTTTAGCCCTGGTAGACCTGGTTTAGTCCTATTTTAGTAGTGTTTTAGTCTTAGTTCAGTCCTGGTTCAGTATGTGGCGCAAAAGTCCAGCATCACAGTTTAAGTCACGAAAATGGGAAACGGCCGTTATCCATTTTTTCAATTATTCATTTAAGTTCAAAATCAAAAAATGAAAAAAACCCAAAAACGAATCATTATCCATTTTTTCATTTTGGTTCTAGAGACAAATAATGAAGAAAATTGTTGTTTATTTGTTTTCTTATTACTAGTTTTATTTAGAAAAACGAATGAACGAATGATACACGGACTAAACCCTACAACACATCATAATACCGTCTCAAGCCCATAACACAAAATCGCTGAAACTTCGAAATCTTCAGCATTACATTGCAGAAAAAGTCCAAAGTTTCCTCTTTAAGCTCTAAGTCCTTTATGGAAGCAGGAGAGTGTGCTTGTCTCAGCAGCAGTGACAGCCCTATCCAGAACACTGTCACACTCACGGCTCATTAGTGGCACACGGGGCGACAGGGGCGAGGGGTGACAGGGCCGACAGGAGCGACAGGGGACCACGACATCAGCACACACACGAAGAACAAGAGGGCTGAGCAGGACAGAGGAAGAGCGAGCACCCCATCACGAACATGTGTCAGAGGGCAGAAGAAAGTTAACATCAACAGATTTTAATAAGGGAAGTAACATGTCAGGGAACAAAGACACAGTTACCGTATTTGGAATATGCGTGTGAAATACTGTAACAACACAGTACGAGAGTATAACATGAGACCACGGTTTTAAGTAGACGAGATAGCTTTGTACAATACACCAAAAACAAGGTTGAATTCGGTCAACTTGACACAATTTGTGAAGTGAATAAGTTGCGACACTCCAAGTATCTTCTTTAGTTCTGGCACAGCTATAATAAGAGAATGCCTTAAATAAAACTGTGTGGCTTCAATTCCCTTGTAAACATGCTTTTGGGCACCTTGGGATAAGTACAGAACTTAATCTGTGAATAGGGCTGGGTGATATTAGCCAGGCTGCTGCCTCTTAGTGCCTCCGCTCAATTTCATTTCTCTCCAGCGACTAGGTCAGGAATCAGAATACACTAGACGGTTTACAAGAACCCTTGAAGTTGTAGACCGCGCACCGGCCAATCAGCGCAGCGAACGGTGAAATAAAAAAACTATCCACCTACCTACCAGCAAACGAACCCTAATGCTGCGACGGTTTCCATGATGAATCTGGCTAGGGTGATATGGCCAAAAAACTAAATCTTGATTTTTTGCACACACTGGACAATTACGATTTTAATCAAAGTCAGAGGAGTGACCGCATGCCTTTCAAACAGCGGAAGTGTTTTCATTC